TCTATGGGAAAATGCTGAAAGCTACAGAGTGAGCTTATAAATGGACTTTGGGCTAAAACCTGTTTATGAGTTATAGTCTCTATAAGTATAAAAAATATATGGTCGGCATAACCATACTTGTATTTGAGTATAAGTGGCTATATGCTGGTAATATTAACCACTAATAAATATAGAGCTCTTGCTATATCCCACTCACAAAGGCAACTGACGAGCACCAATTTCATAAAAAGGCACAAATGCATGGGCATCATGACTGCATTTGTCTTCTATATTTCCTAATTTAGACATGTTTAAAGGTTTTTGTATGAAGTGACAAGAATACTTGGCCACATTGGAAAATGTAGTGGCAAAGACGTAGCTTCTGTTTTTATCATTATTTGAAACTTGGGAGAACATACATTTCCTTTTAAACCATATTCCTCTATATATTCCTAAGTAAATTGAACTTTAGAACATAAGAGCCAACTGATCAAGTCGTGGAGTACTTTGACAAATGAAAAAGCTCTTCAATGCGTATTTAAGTTTATCTCCAAATATACAGTCCAGGAAGAAAATTGGAATGTCATACTATCGTAAGCTACCCTTTTATAAAAACCGTATGTTTAAAAATGATTAGCTCTCTGCAGAATACTAAAAAAAGAAAAAAAATCACAGTATAAATATATGTCTATGCTCATAATGAACATAGGTAGAAAACCCATATATATTTTTAAAGCTTTAAGGAGATATTTATTCCTACCAAACATCAGAAGGTAATGCAATTCAAAGCATTGAACCCTATGCTAAATGCGAAGGGTTAGGAAGCAACAAGATAAACAAACAAGGCTCCTGCCCTCGTGGACCATGCAGTCAACTAGAGATGAAAGTCCTGCAATTAAGAAATTTAGAAATCCAAAGTGATATCACTCCCATCTGTTATTCAATTTTCTTCTACATTGGATCAAAAGTCCCAGAATAATATGCCAGTCTACTGCCTTTATTGCGATCGAAGAAACTTTTTTTTTAGAATCAAAAGTAAGTCCCCTGGTAGATTCTATACACAGAAATTTCTGTCCTTGAGCCATTTTATTCTCACTCTTTCTGTTTTTATTATAGGGAAAAGTATATTACACTGGTCATTTTAACATTAATACATAAAGGATAAGTAAATATGGAGAAATGCATTGACTTCAACTTTGTATTTCTGACAGACTGAAATAATTTCTATGTGTGCATTTCTGGTAAATTGCCTAAAAACGTGTCAGGGGGAAAAAGGACCTGAATTGCCAAGCCTTCATTAACTCATTGTAATTTATTGTCTCATTCTAAATAAATATTCATTTTCATATCTAATTTTGATATGTAATCTTATATTCTTTTTCTAAAAGAATGACCCCAAGCCTATACACTGGTACCCTAAAACGTGGCCACTCCCAGGATGTGCGCAACTGCCGCAAAAGAAAACATCCAAGAAATTCAGGGGATTTAATGTCTAGGAGAAGGCACAGTAAACGTCAGACTCAGTAGATGGAAGTCTACTGGGGCGTGGACCAGAGGAGTGTCTAATGAGAGAACACTGCCAGGGGGATCATCAAAGCAGAAGACAGAGGCTGATGAAATTTGTGTAGAATGGATACTTTGGCAGACTCAGACCCAGATGATTTGATCTCTATTATGATCCCTGAAGGGGAAAAAAATCTAGAAACATGTTTTTAAATAAATGTCTGAGTGCTCACTTCAGCAGCACATATACTAAAATTGGAACAATACAGAGAAGATTAGCATGTCCCCTGCACAAAGATGCCACGTAAATTCATGAAGCGTTCCATATTTTTCTCTTATTCAACATAGTACTGGAGGTTTCCGTCAGAGCAATTAAGCAAGAGAAAGGAATAAAAAGAATCCAAATAGAGAGTGAAAAAGTGAAACTCTCACTGTTTGCAGACAACATAATCTTATAAATAGAAAACCCTAAAGAATCCATTGGAAAACTATTACAAAATAATTAACAACTGCAATAAAGTTGAAGGGTACAAAATCAACTTTAAAAAATCGATTGCATTTCTGTACTCTAATAACAAACTTACAGAAAGAGAACTCAAGAATACAATTCCATTTACAATCACAACAAAAAGAATAAAGCACCTAGGAATAAATTTAACTAAGGAGGTGAAGGACTTATACAATGAAAACTATAAGACATTATTGAAAGAAATAGATAATGACATCAAGAGATGGAAAGAGACTCCATGTACATGGATTGGAAGAATAAACATAGTTAAAATGTCCATGCTACCTAAAGCAATCTACAGATTGAATGCAATCCCAGTCAGAATCCCAATGACATTCTTCACGGAAATAGAACAAAGAATCTTAAAATTCATATGGGGCAACCAAAGACCCATTGCTAAAGCAATCCTGAGAAAAAAGAACAAAGCTGGTGGCATCATAATCCCTGACTTCAAAATGTACTACAAAGCCGTAGTGATCAAAATGGCATGGTACTGGTACAAAAACAGGCACACAGATCAATGGAACAGAACTGAAAGCCTAGAAATAAAACCAACATCTACGGACAGCTAATCTTCGACAAAGGTGCCAAGAATATACAATGGAGAAAAGATAGTCTCTTCAATAAATGGTGTTGGGAAAACTGGACAGCCACATGCAAAGGAATGAAAGTAGACCATTATCTCATGCCATACACAAAAATAAACTCAAAATGCATCAAAGACTTGAAGATAAGTCCTGAAACCATAAAACTCCTGGAAGGTAATACAGGGAGTAGACTCTTTGACATTGAACTTAAAAGGATCTTTTCGAATACCACGTCTTCTCAGACAAGAGAAACAAAAGAAAAAATAAACAAGCGGGACTTCATCAGACTAAAGAGTGTCTGCAAGGCAAAAGAAAGTAGGATCAAAACAAAAAGACAACCCACCAATTGGGAGACAATATTTGCAAATCATATATCCAACAAGGGCTTAATCTCCATAATATACAAGGAACTCACACAACTGAACAACAAAAAAACAAACAGCCCAATCAAAAAATGGGCAGAGGATATGAACAGATATTTTTCCAAAGAAGATACACAGATGGCCAATAACCATATGAAAAGATGTTCAACATCACTAATCAAAACTACACTAAGATACCACTTTACACCTCTTAAAATAGCTATAATCACTAAAACTAAAAATAGCAAATGTTGGAGAGGGTGTGGAGAAAAGGGAACCCTCATACACGGCTGGAGGGAATGCAAACTGGTGCAGCCCCTATGGAAAACAGTATGGAGATTCCTCAAAAAATTAAAAATAGAACCACCATATGACCCAGCTATCACACTACTGGATATCTACCCAAACAATTTGAAATCAATAATCCAAAGTAACTTATGCACCCCTATGTTCATTGCAGCACTATTCACAATAGCCAAGACATGGAAGCAACCCAAGTGCCCATGAACCGATGAATGGATAAAGAAGATGTGGTATTTATATTCAATGGAATACTACACAGCCATAAAAAAGACAAAACGACCCCATTTGCAACAACATGGATGGCCCTGGAGGGAATTATGCTAAGTGAAATAAGCCAGACTGAGAAAGACAGACACAAGATGATTTCACTCATATGCGGAATATAAACAAACACACGGACAAAGAAAAAAGTTTAGTGGTTACCAGAGGAATGGGGTTGGGGGGGTGGGCACAGGGGGTGAAGGGGAGCACTTATGTAGTAACAGACAAGAAATAATGTACAACTGAAATTTCAACGACGTAAACTATTATGAACTCAAATAAAAAAAATATATCTGAGCTGGAAAGCAAAGGAAAGTGAGAGGAAAGAAGGAATTCAGCTCCCAAAGCCTAACTAACTTCTTGTTTGTTAGAAAAGGGACCAGCATATAAGACAAGTTCAACAGTTAAAAACTTGGATGAGCTTGAACAACAACGATAATAATAATAAACACATATAGCTTTTACTGTGTGCCAGACTCTGCTGACTTTACATACGTTAGCTCATTTAATCATCCTAAGAACTCTTTGAAATGGGTACTGCTATTATCTCCATTTTACAAATGAGGAAACTGAGGCACAGAGAAATTAAGTAACCAGTCCAAGGTCACATAGCTGGTACGCGGCTGAGCCAGGATTCACACCAGGAGGTCTGACTCCAGACTTCATGGACTGAATTCTTCACCCTGTGCCCAAAGTCACTGGGAGGGAGGAGGATGCAAGAGTGTGTAGAAAAAAAAAATCATTCTTGGAGAAACCCTTGGAATATTAAGGAAGCATGCCCTCCTGCCTTTCTCTGAGAAAGAAGGAATGGAAACATGGATGAAGATATAGAAATAATTTGAAATAATTAAGAGGAAGTGACTTAGAGATGTTTTAAAGTAGAGAGGGAAAGTCTGTCCACTTAGGGCATTTTTTTCAGCAGTCCCATAAAAAATGACGCAAGGTCCTCCCTTAGTGAAGAAAGGTGGGAGGGTGGGTAGACTGACGGATGTGGAAGAAACCGACTAGTACTATAATTTCAAAAATCCGACTTGGGGAAAGGAGTTGGCAAGAAAATATGTGTTTTTAAATTCTATCTTCAAGTATCGCACATCTTAGGAATCCTGGGCTTTGCTCTGTGATATTTCCAGGCTCTTTGACTCTAGCCTATTTCAGCTGGCCATCCCTAGTGCACTGCTAAAGTCCTCCTTTCACTCAGGATTAGTGTTTTCAACCATTTAAAGCTTTTTCCCCTTATGACTGCTTTTTAAGTACCAGAAAGGGCCCAGCAAGGGATGAGTTATGTTTGCTTCAAACTGAATTGTTTCCTTAAAATATGACATATATATTCTGTCCCTTCAATCTGGAGGAATAACTCCCAGGTTTTCAAATGTTTTTATCTGTGTGGTGAATCAGGTACCTATGAGAGTCAACACTGCTTTATTACTCTAATTTATCCATGAAACAAACATATTTATATTCACTTGAACGACAGAAAAAGATGCATGAATAACTTACTTGTATTGTAGTCCTCTCGTCTGGCATAATGCGTTCAACTGACCATAATCAATGTGCCTAGACATTTTCAAGCCTGCAAAAAAAAAAATCAATTAAAAGTGTGAGTAATTTTCTGTAATCTTATTAACCAAGTGTGTAAGTAGAGTTTAATTGCAAGCATTCATCAAAGTAAAAGAATTCAGTGACTATGAAAGTGAGGTATTGTGTCTTTGATACACAAGCAGAATTGAGTAGGGATGATTGAAATGAGGAAAGAATTCAGTGTTTTTCATTGATGTCAAATCTGGTCTAGGATTGTTTGTCTGTTTAAAGTCAGCAAATATGGGAGTTTATATCTGTCATATGATGTCACTCCTCTAGAAGTAGCCTTTCAGAATTCTCATCCTATACCCTCAGAATGTGAACTGGTTCCAGAACTCCAGACGTGACAATTCAAACAAGAGTTTTCTCGGGGTCTCTGTCGCTGTCTGTCTGTCTCTGGAATACCGGCAATTTTCATTCACCCCCACACAGGCCTCCCTCTTTGGCCAGCCCCTCTTCAGAGTACCTTCCAGTGTTTGGAGTCCGTTCACAGTTCCTTCAGAAGTTCAAGTATGAGCAAATCACACAAGACCCTTTAAGCGCAAAAAGTAATTACAGCCAAGAAGCAAACTAACTGTGAGTCTCCTTCAGCGCTAGCAAGAACTGACGTCCTTCACAGGAGATGGAAAGGAAAGGAAGAGAGAGTATCAAGCACAATCAGCCTCGTTACAGTGACCGGCACTCACATCTCAGGCCCTCTCCTTGCTCCAGGAGAATGCTTTCTGTTAGAAATACTGCAAAGCAGAAAGCAGTAATAAATACCGGCATGCCCCTTATTCCTTCCCTTAGTGAAAAGACTTTGAGAAAATCAGTGGCTTAATGCATTTCTAAAACTCTTAAAAATGTATTCATTGACCACATCCCAATAGTGAAGAACTGAAATTTGGTATGTCCAGATTTACCCATTTTAATCTCAGGGTATTGAATCATAAAATTTGACTTTTTGTTTAAGCCTTTTGTGATCTAAAAATTAACCATCAATAACAGATACCACTTTCTAAATATGAAATTGAACTAAGTAAAATTTAAACAGAAAACTGATTGCTATCCACATAGGTCATAACATTTAATAAATTTGAAAATATCAATTACATGGTTCAGGCATTTTCTTACCTACATTACTCAGTGAGGCCTCAAGAAACAAAAAATAACCTAATCGCATTTTAGCATCATATGAAATAATTTTAAATGAGAAAATTTGCAGTTAGATTACAACAAAAATACTTTTAGGATAGTAATGTCACTGATATAGGACATTATACAAAATCTTAATAATAGTAGATTTTTAGATACATGAATTAAGACGAGATTTCTATGAAGTATTGATTTAGTCCATTTTCCTGACCCAGTTTAATACAGGTTTAGAAATAGCCCTGGTGACAGGTGTGGACAGGAAAGGAATATGATGCCAAAGAGATTTGGGGAAAACGTCAAGTTTTGAGAAAAACTTAACTAAAAAAAGGATGTTAAAAAGTAACTATCTTCATCCTGCAGCTAAAGCAGCTCACAAAAAAATAAAAATCACAGGACAGATGTGATAAGACTAAGAATTGCCAGCAGAGAGAGAGAAATTGAAACATCCCATCACCTGAGAAAAGCTACAGCCCTTAAGGGTGGGGATTCACTGAGCCTCATTTCCAAGAGGCATTTGTCACAAAAGTGCTGAGCAACATAATGGATCTTGTCTTTGAAGCAGTCTCGTTAAAAAGAAAAAAGCCAAAAGGTTTCAATATGAAATTGTAACTCGGTAAAGACCAGAAGTTGAGATTTTCTGATGATCAAAATTAATACAGAGATAAAGCTTACAGAGTTTCACAGGGTACTAAGTTCACATTTGTGTTCCCATCTTGTTTCCCCCACATGACTATGTCCTAGCCGAGCTTTTGACAGAAGTAGAGGGGTCTTAACCCTATAATGGGGATAAAATCGAGGATTTTGACCAGACTAAGTTTGAAAGGGGATTAGAAGCTGATATAAAAAGGTGCTTATAAAGTTAATCCTAAACTAGAAATCCATGGTACAATTAAAAAACCAATTATCTTTATTGATAAAAGGCCCACTATATTTCTTGAAAGAGAGAAAACTAAAATCCCGTATTTTATCTGAGTGATAGCTTGTGATCCTTTGTTTATACGTATTAATGTTTGTTCAGGCATAGATATATATTTTTCATATTTGTGCGGTATAGGGATTTAAGTATGCTTGTGATGGGGTTATAAAGATTTGTTAAAAATGTGTTTTGTGAGTGTTAAAATTAAACTATTTTCCCTCAACAAGCTTAAAAGGTAGGTAAATACCCCTTGCAAAAAGCTAAGAGGAAGCGGTAAGATAAGTGAAGCCTTAGAAATATTGTAAATGCACACTGCTGCTTATCATGAGTCTAGGCTCGTCGGAGTGGCTACAGGGCAAGGAAAAGGGATGAACGCGGAGCCAAAGAGAAAAGGTGACCATGACCACGTGGAAATACCAGAGTATGGTCAGCTAGAAAACAGAGGGCTGAGGCCTCTTCAAAGTGTTGCAGTGTACACTCTAATAAATAATCCAACGATAAGCAGAACTTTGCTTAATTCAATATTCAGAGCTCAAAGAAGCAGTTTAGCAGCAACAGCAACAGAAACTTTATCAACAAACTTTTGTACTAAGAATAACAGTTCTTATGCTAATTCTAGCACAGGACTAACGTGCAGAACAAGAAGCTGCACAGGAGAAAATATAGGATCTGCCAGTTCTAGCCTGAGCTCCACCAATTTTCACACGAACATCATCCAGGAAAGTCAAACTCAAGATAACCAAAGCTTCACTTAAAATTCCTCTCATACTTCTTTCCTTCAAAAACCTGATCGTCCTTCTGAATTCTCCATCTGGGTTAAGAAAATCCCTATCACTTTCCATAACTCTACCACCAACCTTGGGATCCACGTCTACTCTTTCCCCGTCAGGACCAATGTGTAATGAAGGCCATCAATTCTCTCTTTCAAAATGTATCCTAAATACGTTTCAAATATGTCCTATCTGATCCCAATGACAGAGCCACCAAATAGGGCCACACCACGTGCACACTGTGAAGGAGTACCAGCTACATGCATGCAACACGTCAGTATCTTGTTCCAGACTCTCTTTGAGCCTCATCGGCACTACTACGATAACCTCCTATCTATTCTCCTGACTCCAACTTCCTTTCCAACCCATCCTCCACACAACGATCACAGTATTTTCTAAAATTCCAATGGGATTACATACGTTTCTTGCTTAAAATCATTCTAAGCCTCTACAGGCTAACGTTTAAATATTTTGTATGGAATACAACGCCTTTTGACTTCTATGGCCTCATTGGCCGCCACCACCTGTGTTGGTGCCCTTTACCCTCCATCTTTCAACAGCACACGTTCTGGCTACTCCATGAAGACACCCTTTCCTTTCAACGTAAGGTTCTCTTTGGTTCTTTCTCAACTTAAAAAAAACTCATCCGTCTGTTTAGATCCACCTTGAAGTTAACCTATCTGTGACAATTTTTAAACTTCTCTTCTCTAGAAAAAGGTAGTTGTTTTTTCCATTGTGTTTTAATGACTTTTTATTTATACTTAATGTTTCTTCCAATTTGTTACAATCCCCCAAGGAGGGGGTCCACTATATACTCATGTATAAAACACTAGAACTTATCATAGCATTTGGATCTAAATATATGTTATTTGTTAAATTATATTGCATAAATAATAAGAACATGGCTCTAATATGTCAGGTGAGGGTCCATTGTATGCAATGCACATAAAATCAAAGAAAAATAATGAAGGCAGGAAAATTAAAATAAAGTTGCATTTAACAAATATGGCAAAGAATACCTACTAAATACTCTTAAAAAGCTCTCTGACCCTTGCAGGGTATCGTACTCTAATCATTTTACCTCCATTCTGCATGAGACTGAAGACCACGTCAATGCCATTTTTGCCATTCAAAACCTATGCATCATGAAAAGAGCCCACTAAATAAAATAAAGAGTAGAAAGAGGGGGAAAAAATTGACCTTCATTAAAATTGAGAATTAGCATGTTTCCTAACTACAAACTCTGAGAAATATCAAATTGTACGAATTCAATAAACTTTAAAGAATACACAAAAGCATATTCATACTTCTCGTGTTTGAGGAAATAGGCAGAGTTCTCCAGGAGAAAGCAGAATAGCCCTAAAAGGTACAACAATGAAACCTCCCTTGGAATGGGGCTTTCTTGAGACATGGACAGACTAAGGGGCATTGCAAACCCACGATATACGTGGAATGTAGGGCCGAACAAGGATCCCACATACACTCATATTTTTTTAAGGGTCAGATTGTTGTGGCGGTGAGAAAGAGGACAAATGTTAGGTGGCATCAACACAGAAGTAAGTGATCTCAGTCACCGGAGAGAAGTAAACAGAGGCCAAATCACTACTGGGAAACCTTTGCAATATGAATGCTGACAGCACCAATGAGAAACAGATCATTTAGGAAAGAGTACAGAACACAGTTGATGATTAAGAGTTCAAAGTTACCAAACAAGAAAATTCAGCCTGTCTGCTGTGCCAAGTCACTCCTCACCACTATTTTTTTCCAAGCAAGTAATCTACCTTCAAAATGTAACCATCATTCAATAACCCTAGGCATGACATACTCTAAGGGAAAACATGAAAAATGATTAACTTATCAAATAAAAATCAAATAATATGCATCAGAAAAAGAAATATGCCAAGATGTGGGGAGAAATCTTTCCCAACCACACACATACACACACACACACACACACACACATGCTTGATGAAAGAAAAGTAAAGAGCTATAAGGCGCTAAATACAAATAAAGCAATAGAAGAAATTACAAGTGAACAGGCTATCCTCAGGAAAGAAGAGAATGATAAAATTATAACAAATAAAATCCACGTTAGAAACAGCAAAAATGACAATAAAGATTTAAGAAAATATAATCACAGAACATAGAGGCTAACACGCTCAAATAAATAGA